CCAGGGAAAGGTACACAAAAGAGTGAAGCAGTGCAGCCGGGTTTCCTTTTTTATTACTAAGGTTTTGTTCTGACCCTTACAAATCTCTGTTTCTTCCAACTGACTGCCTTGCATACACAGTTCGAAAATGGGCAAACACCATAATGTACTTATCTATAAGATGTATAAATCCAAGGCAAATGGAGACTGCACACTGAGATATCCTGCTGTAAAATCCTTTACTAAATCCTGGAGTCCATGCACACTTGCAAGAGCCTGGATTTTAGGATTCAATAAAGGATTTTACAGCGTGATATCTCAGTATGCATTTTCCATTCGCTTTGGATATTTGCAAGACTGTGGTTGGAGCAGGCTGAGCATTGCACCTTTACCTATTATTGGAAGTGTACAAAATATATATAACTTGGAGGGATCCGTGGGTTTTTTGCTGCTCTATATATAAGATGTGATGCACAGCTGCTTTATTACATTTATACAAAACCATGTAAAGATCATACTACAGGGTCTCTCTATCTTTGTAAAATAGGTATAAGAGGTATTTCAAGAAATAGCAGACAGCAAATGAGCACCTTTGCTTCACATGAAAAAAAATTCTAAAGGGTTGGTATCTATCTTACTAGTTTCCACTAGAAAATCAATCCAGCTGGGGTTAGCAGAGGCCATTTTAATTGAGTTTGTTTCCCATCTGTATACAGTTCTTTCATACATAGTCCAACACATTTATTTATTTCAGGTACTTATATATATAGTGCTGTCAATTTACACATGTATATTGTACATTCACATCAGTCACTAACCCTCAAGGGGTGTACAATCTAAGGTCCCTAACTTACATTCACACATACGCATATTAGGGCAAATTTAGACAGGATCCAATTAACCTACCAGCATGTCTTCGGAGTGTGGGAGGAAACTGGAGCACCCAGAGGAAACCCACACAAGCACAGGGAGAACATGCAAACTCCATGCAGGAGGTGCCATGGTCAGGAATCAAACCCATGACCCATTTACTGCAAGGCAGACGTGCTAACCACTAAGCCACTGTGCCTCCCCGACACATCACCTACATACATGTGTTGTGGCATGCTTTTTGAGAAACAATGTACTACAATATCTCTTTTTCTTGTGGAAGACACTATGCAATGTAAGCAAATGGAAATTGCTCTGGCTATATTTTATGGCTATGCTCCAAACAGTAGCGGGTCTCAGAAAGAAACCCTGCTGAATGTATTCAGGAGAGTTCAAATTAAATTTTCACCCATCGGAGCTTGCCCTATATTTAGGAGCTTACAATTTTTGTAATTTCTGCCTTCTAGCCAATTGTAATGCTACCATGCTTTATAACAGTCACTTGACCAGTGCTAAAGCCGGTCATAGATGGTTCAAATCTTGACCTGTCGAGATCTGAACCATCTATGGCCGTATGATTGTACCAAATTAGATTGTTGTATGACTTGGGTACAACCAGCATGTCAGATTTTTACATGCAATTATTGCCTGCACCTATAGCCACTAGCAATAATCACTGTGTTCTTCCAGCAGGGACAGCTCCCTGGGTCTGATCCCCCACTGGGAGAACATAATAGATCATCGGGAGGGATTTTCTTCTCTTCCACCTGTTGCAGGAAAGGAAATTGCATAATCTATGGCCTGCCTAAGGCTGGGTTCATGCTGTTGTATTATTTTGCATGTTAATGTGCATTCTGTAAAGGCAGATCATTCAATAGCTCAGCCTATTGTTTGTAACACAACACAGTGCAAGGCAGTTGAAAGGATGAGTTGGGGTTCAATTAACCCAGAGAGCGCGCAGAGAATAAAATGGCGGGCGCTGTTTATGAACAGCAACCTGCTCCTGCACTGCTCCATTCTGGCCGTTTATATACATGGGCCGGACGGGAGCAGTGCAGGAGCGGGTTGCCATTCATAAATGGCGCCCACCATTTTAGCCTGTGCGCGCTCCCTGAGAGCGTGTGGCACCGCGATCCGGAGGACACAGCAGAACACAGATCGTTGTACGGGACCTCTGTGCGAGGTCCCGATCAAGTGATCACTGATTGGCCAATCAGTGATCACATAAATAGGAGTAAGCAAGATGTCACTTTCTGACATCATTGCTTACTACTAGTGAAATCTGTGAATGATGACAGAGGTCACATGGTACAAAGATATTCACAACAGCCTTGTACCATGTGACAAGCTGTGACCAATCACAGCTCTCACAGTATTTCTCAATGGCTGAAAGAATGCAGCCAGAGAGGAGAAATTATTGCTTTTACAGCCTTTATGGGTGTAAAAGCAATCAGTGTAAAAGAAAAAAAAAAAAAAACCTCTTCATCACCCCCCACAAGTAGTACAGTGTCACTATGGTGACCCTGTACTGATAGGTTGACAGTATGTATAAAAAAACATAAATAATAATATAAAAAAAATTAAACAAAAATGTAAAAATATTTTTTGAAAAATTATAATGTTTGGTTATAGACTAATGTGAGTTATTTAGAATTATATTATTATAAAAACATAGCTGAATACAGTTTGGCCAAGATTTATGAAGAAAGATTATTTATTTTCAAGAAAAACACTTTTTTTCAAAATTTTTGGACTTTTCATTTATATAGCACAAAAAATAAAAATCCCAGTGGCGAATAAATACCACCAAAATAAAGTTTTATCTGTCTCAAAAAAAATGCTAAAAAATTCATATGGGTACAGTGTTGCATGACCGCGCAATTGTCATTCAAAGTGTAATAGCGCTGAAAGCTGAAAATTGGTCTGGGCAGGAAGGGGGTAAAAGTGACCAGACTTGAAGTGGTTAAAGCTGACTATAGATGGTTTGAATCTCAGCTGTTTCAGCAGGGAGCAGCTGAGATTCCAACTATCTATGGGCAGGCTGATTATACCCAATTCAATTGTTTTAGGACTTGGGTACAACAAGCTTGTCAGATTTTTACCTGCGACTATTGTTAGTGGCTATAAAACACTAACAATAATCACTGTGTTCTTCCAGCAAGGTCGGTTCCCCGTTCCCACCCCCACCAGAAAACTGACTGTGTTGATAGGGGAATTAAGTGTTGTTCAACCCTGCAACCTGTGACTACCTAAGAATGAATGGCACAGCAGCATGCCAACACGCAAAATGCACATTTTCACACATTACAGTAATGTTTGCATTACTACAACCCAACAATGTGCACCTATCTTCACACATCAGATGGTTGGCCAGTCATGCATACATCATCTGGTTGCCAAACATATCACCATAATTTTAACTTAGTTTTATCATATTGCTGTAGGAATGAGACAACTTGTTTGCTCTTTGAAGTGTTACTAAACCCACAACAGTAAAATCAGTCCCTATATGCAGTAAAGCATACTTTTTATGCTCACTGTGGAACCTAAGGGGTTAATCCTCCGCATTGTGTAAAAAGGCTGTTTGATCCTGTCTTCTCTGATCCTCCCCTTCTCTGACTGTCCCCAATCCATCTGCTGATAGTACAGAGCTTTAGGAGTCACTCTGCACATGCTTATTTTAATGTGTATGGTTAGAGAGTTTTTTCTCTTAGGGAGCGTGCATGTGATCAGCACAGTCCAGACAGAGGATCAGGGGTCATGCAGCTTCATAGGACAGTCAGAAGCAGAATGAAAAATCCTTCTACAAGCTATAACCAGAGCTCATCTGGACACTGATAAAAGTCACTGACTGCAATATACTGCTGACGAGAAAAGGTATTTAGCAGTTTATTTTTACTAAAATAATTACATTTCTGTGTTCTGTGTACCGTGGGAGACCAAATAGTGAATGCAGGTTTCTGAGTTTAGAAACACTTTAAAGCGGAGTTCCACTCACCCTGTCAAAAAAAACCAGCCACTTACCTGTCCCTCGGTCCCGCGTTGTGTCCTCCGCAGGCAGCCCCTTTCACTGGCCGTCCTGTATCTTCAGTGTGGGCATCTGGCTGTGACAGCTTGCGGCTTCACAGCCGGGTACCCACTGCGCATGCGCGAGTAGCACTGTGCTTTACGAATGGTCCTGTAGTCTTCTGGGACCTGTCACGTGTCCCAAAAGGCTACGGGGGGGAGGGAGGTAGGGTACCTTCCACTTCCGGTCGCCTAGGTGATTGGACCGGAATTGGGAGCGGGTACCATCCCCCCCCCCTTTCCCAAAGGTGCCAATCCTCAATGGGGAGTGGGGGAGCAGTCCTTAAAGCGGAACTTCCCCTTTTGGGTGGAGCTCCACTTTAAGCTAAGTGCACAATGATATTTTTAAATCAAATTTTCCAAATACTAGTCGGAAGAAAGTTTCTTGAAGTCCAAAAAAATCCTTCAGTTATAATTCTATATAGACATTAATGCTAGTGCTGATTATATTTTTAACAAGCATTAACCAGGCATTTACAGACCTTCAACAGGCAATTAGCAAGCTTTGATAGACCACTGGGCTGCACTCTAGAGAAGCTTGCTGTAATTTATTAAATCCCAACCAAACATGATACCTCTCAACTGAGGTTCACAGGCTAAGATTAAAATATGTCAGTGTCTATTTAGCCTTACAGTATCCTATTTGTTAGAACAAATGGTTTATACATGCTCTGCAGTGTTAGTTTCTTATGTTTCTGACTCACCTGGTTACAGAAATCCTTGGTAATATTTGGCACCCAATGTCTTATAATATCAGTTGCAGTTTTTAGTGTGTAACTAGTTATTGGATAGATCCCTTGCTTGAAAATAACTTGCTATTCTAAGCTACCCAACATTTAACCCCTTGCCTACAGGGCATTTATACCCCCTTCCTGCCCAGGCCAATTTTCAGTTTCAGTGCTGTTGCACTTTGAATGACAATTGCACAGTCATGCAACATTGTACTCATATGAGATTTTTATCATTTTTTTGAGACAGAGCTTTCTTTTGGTGGTATTTAATCACCTCTGGGTTTTACATGTTTTGCTAAACAAACCAAAAACAACAGAAAATTTTGAAAAAAAATTTTTTTTTCTTAGTTTCTGTTATAAAATTTTGTAAATAAGTGATTTTTCTCCTTCACTGATGTGCACTAATAAGGCTGTAGTGATGGGCACTGATAGGCTGCACTGATGGGCACTGGTAGGCGGCACTGATGGGCACTGATGAGGAGGCACTGGTAGGTGGGACTGGTGGGCATTGACAAGCATCACTGATGGGCACTGAAAGGCAGCACTCATATATGGCACTGATAGGCATCACTGACTGGCACTGTTAGGTGGCACTGACTGGCACTGTTAGGTGGTACTGATAGGAGGCACTGACTGGCACTGACAGGAGGCACTGACTGGCACTGATAGGCGGCACTGACTGGCACTGATTGGCAGCACTGATAGGCGGCACTGATTGGCATTGATAGGTGGCACTGACTAGCACTGATAGGTGGCACTGAAAGGCAGCTCAGATAGGCACTGATATGTGGCATTGATGTGCACTGGTAGGCACTTATATGTGGGCACTGATGGGCACTTGCAGGTGGTATTGATGGACACTGACAGGTGGCACTGATGGGGCTACACTGATCATCAGGGCACACTGATCATCAGTGCCCTGATGATCAGTGTACATGTCCCCTCTGAGTAATGCTGATTACCGGCTCTCCTTTCCTCATGAGCTGTCAGTGTGACAGCTCGTGAGGAGAGGAATGGCAATAACCGACATTTCCTTATTTACATGCGATCAGCTGTGATTGGACACAGCTAACCACATAACAGAGCTGGCATCATCGACTCTTTACATTGATCAGTGATCCGCTGTGTTCCAGGGACACAGCGCACCACCGATCGCCGCACTGCGCTCCCCCGGGGGCGTGCACGTGCGCTTAGAGTGGGAGGACGTCATATCACATCCTTCCAGAATGAGACAACCGCCTTTCCCCCATCATTTCCTTATATGGCGAGTGGGAGGCGGTTAAAGTATGCAAAGTAGTGGCAATTGCAGTATGATGGCAAACATAACAATTGTGGTTCTAGTCTTATTATTTTTCAGGGAGATCCAAGTAATATTTACAGTTCGCCTATATGAGAGGAATCCAATTTGTATATTGCAGAACACAGGGAATAAAGGGGTATGACTTCCATTCCTTGGGATGTCATAGCTCTGATAAAAAGTACTAAACTTCCATATAAGAGTAGTACTATGAACCCACTGGATCCCAGTCTCACTTTTCCAGGTCAACAGTGAACAGTAGACTTTGCTCATCTGAAAAATCTGCTTAGCAAAATGAGTATGATGTATTAATTTTTCACTAACCATGACAGACTTTGTTGTTTAGGGCAACTGTCAACTACTTAGAATGACTATTTCCACAAACTAGTGGATATCAATGGTGTTACAAGGCCCAGGCACTTGGGGCATATACTGTATTCCCAGTCATCAGCATAGTGTTGCCATTAACATACTTTAACTTTTAAATGTGCTTCTGGCAGATACTTTATCTACTCCCATAGAGCCGCAGGAATACTGTCCTGGTCCTCCCCAAATGCTCTGCCCCGCAGCCAGACACATAGGCTCATTCACACATTTCTCCAATAACCAGTCTAGGGGTGTTCTTTTTGTTGTTTTTATTTTTGAAGAACATGTATAGGACTGAGGGAGATGAGTGGGATACTCCATAAACAGGAACTATATACAGCTGAGGACTTTATCTAGTCTTCAGGATAAGCTATGTTGGAGTCTTTGTTTGTATCAAACAGTGGACTTCAGCTTAAGGACATAGTAGAAGTAATAGTAACTTCTTTAGAGCTTTAGAGCCCCAGGGCAGTGTCCTTTTAAAAAGTAGGACAGATGGACAAAGCTATTTGGAATACCAGATGGTGTTCCCTTTGCTAGACCTGCAGCTGACTCCTTAGCACTAGAGGGGTTAAGTAGCACGCAGTTTCTAAGATCCTTTTGGGGATGTCTGTACTCACAAGGCCAAGGAGCAGCTGGATGCCTTCCCCTGTGATACAAGACCAGATCTTCAGTAGACATCCCCTCAGTCAGCATAGCAGAACCTCAGGCCCTCAGGTTGCCCACCTGAGGCAGCACAATAGTAGTTCCTGTCCAGGCTGGACTAGTCCTGGACAGGAAAGACCCCAAGCTCAGTGTGCTCACTGAATATATACAGTTACCCAGCATGCCATCAGAGCCAGCTTCTCTGGGATAGGCTGAGGTTGTATCAATATTCAAGCTTCCATCTGCATAACTCCATACATATCATCCAGAAAATTCTCAAGTTTCCTGTATCCAGAGGAAGCTATAGGCAGACTGGCTTTTTTAAAGCACACAGCAGCTCGCTTTCTTTTTTAAGGCCTTTTTAGCCCACTTTTATTTAAAGAAAATTTCCATAAAGCTTCCCATGCAGGGGTATCCGCCATCAAACAAATATTCAGCCTCCTGGCTTGTACACACAATTTCCCTCTGGCCTTCCACTTCAGGCTTACGTCTGTCTCCTGCAGACTCTTTCTAAATGGCTTTTCCGCACACAGCTAGCCACTAGCACACAGCTACTCTGACTTCCTCCTCTCCTAGGTGAAGCCCTCCTGACTCCAAGGCAGAGACCTCCTGTCTGCCAGGGTGGTGCCCAGAATCATGGCCTGGCCTCTATGAAAAGGCCTGCACACACCTGTGCAATCAGTGTGCTGGGGGCTCTGAAAACACGGACCCCAGATTGGAGATTTCATCCCTCCCAGATCACTTAGAAATCTCCAGGCTCCAGATCCCAAAACTGACTTTATGAATAAATGAGGAAACTGAAAAGCCAGTTTTTCCTCTGCATTACATAAACCCTCTGGAGCCCCTCAACCTGCCTGGTTGAGAATCCAGGGTTAAAGGCTTGATTTCAACCGTGGCAGGGTACTGCGCTGCCACAATATATATATATATATATATATATATATATATATATATATATATATATACACACTCACACACACACACACACAGTATATATAGTGTCTGCTGAGGACCGTTGTGTCTGTATGGATACTCTGTGACACTAGAGTTCACCTACATTTAAAAGCTGACTTTGTGGCTCCATGCACACTGAGCATTTCAATAACGCTGGTAGTGTTAGCTGTGCAAAGTCATGTTAAAATTTAGCATTAGCGTTTTGCTGTGTTTTTCCGTGTTTGCGTTTTTTAGCATTGTTTTACCAAAAAAAAAAAATTTTTTTTGCTCAAAAAAAGTCCAAAAATGCTGACTTGCTGCAATTTTCACCATGTTTTATAATGTTTTTCAGCATTACAGCTAAAAAAACTCTAGAAACACACTAGTTCTGGGGTTTTTTCCAGCCAAAATACGCTCCTGCCAAAAAAATGCTGATTACAGCCTATGTGTGCATGGACACATAGGATAACATGCTGGGGAGTTTACTGGCTGTATAAAAACCCAACAAAAGACAAAAAAGAGCAGCTGTAAAAACATCCAGTGTACATGAGGACCAGGGACAGACTCACAACTCATGGGGCCCCCGGGCAATAGGGGATCATGGGGCCCCTGTGTCCTTGCCCACACTCAAAGAACACCCAAAAAAGCCTATAAAAACGGTACCAGGGGCATTTCATGGGGCCCCATTTGCCCCCAGGGGCCCTCGGGCAGTGCCCGAGTGCTCGAATAGTCAGTCCGCCCCTGATGAGGAGTTAAGGTGGGAATACACGATTAGAAAATTGACCGATCGGTCATCCGAAGACCGAAAGGCATTCGTTCATTGGTTGAAATCGTGGCTTACATTAGCCAACCTAAAAAAAAATCATTAATCGGGCAATAGGTAGTGTTGTCTTCCGTACAAGTGGAAGTAATGCAGTGTGCGTGTGACCTTGTAGCCACGCCCTTCCGGCCAGAACGAGCGATATACACAACAATTACCAGCAATGAGTATAATGTAGTTTATTACATTATCTATATACATAAATAGTGATACATAAAAATATAATATGCAGAATTCTGGTTTCATTAATTAATTAGGCCAATCTACTTTTAACATTTGGATTTTTTGTTTGTGTTTACGAATATTCCTTGGACATAAACATCCGGTTCATCTTCTGTTTCTGCTCATGCGTGATAGATTTTTTTCATACGACCATCATACCACCGCATAGAAAATTGGTCGTTCATATGCGAAACGACAAATATTTTCACTGTTGTGCAACCGGGTTTTTTCGTTCACAATATCGTTATCGGTTAAAGCATCCTGCTCATCAATGAAGATAAAATCATTCGATCAGTGGTTCTGCAAAATTTTTATTACAATTTTCTTATCATGTGTACGGGGCATTAATCTGCATACTTACATAATAGTTGTAGCTTTTGGGCTGGTTAAAAGTATGAGCTGCAGAAAGGGTTCTTCTCAGGTATACTATTCAGAAGTTACAAGCAAATAAAAGAATTTATATTTTTACAGGAAATTGCACTTTTGGTCTAAAGCACATTTTTAATCTACGCTGCTGAGCAATTTAACCACTTGCTGGCAGTTATCAAATTTGCAGCAAATAAATTTCCATTTACTGTAAATGAGGTGAGTGGCAACAATAGGTTATACAGTATACTGCCCAGTATCATGAGATTAGAATCACTTGGTTGGCTTAGTCCTATGGTCTCTTTGTATGTGTCTAGTTCAGTTGAGTCTTAGACCAGAATAAATACTGCTAGCTTCCAGCTCTCTCTTGGTTTGCCATATCAGAGAAATCTTCTTCTAAATTAAGCAAGTGTGGTTTAGCTGAATGTATGGATACTGAACCACAGAATATGTACAGTGTAGGTCTGGCCCTGTGGGGACTGCCTTGACATGCAAAGACTAGCTTGTTCTTTTTTTTTTATAAAAATGAAAAAAACAGAAACACTAATTGCTAACTTTGCTTCTGGTACATATTTTAAAATATTCAAATTGAAAAGATAGTTATTTAAGGTTATTGAATGCAGTCGAAATTTACTTGTATTTACACTCTAATACATACCCCAAATAGAACAACACAGTACTAATTAATATTATATACGTACACACATTCACATAAATATATTTATATATATATTTGTATGCATGGCTCTGTTGTTTCATATGCTCTCAACTACACAGGGAAGTTTTTTTGGACACTATAATTTATCATGTGAGAAAATCCCAGTAATTATTACATAAGAAATCAACTGTGCACCATTGCTATATAAAACAATCATATAATATACTGTAACTTGTTAGAATATTACAAAAACTCCAACCTTTTCCATAAACTGAGCCCGATGCCAGTAAAGTAAAATTATATGTGCAGCACATTTCTGCTTTTTTCTTAGCGAAGCAGATCTGAACCAGGAACAAAGCTTATTTCCAGTGATAAAATAGAACATGCCACTTGTGATGTAGCAGGTACAGTTGCATGACTTGTGAAATGTCAGGGGCAAATTAATTTTTTATTTGCTTTCCTATTTCCCTTGCAAAAAATTGGGTAAATCAGAATAATAGGAGGAATAATTTTAAAACAATATTCGGTTTTCAAGACAGGCTTCACTTTTACCAACATTTCATTAATTCTACTATTAAATTTCCAATAACTACTTACTGTGAGGTCCTGGTCCAACACTCCTAATTTTTTATATGCTGTTGTTGCAGGCAATGCTACTTCTGCCTTGTTTGGTTGAGCTTCAGACTGCATATTTTTACACAGTACACATGTATCTATCAAGTGTACACATTCTTAGTGACATACAGATGAAACATTTAAGTATGACGAACTATAATAAGCTGCAAGCAGGAGCGGACTGACCATTTGGGAACTCGGGCACTGCTGAGGGCCCAGGGTCAGTAGGGGGCCCCATGAGATGCCCCTGGTACCTTTCATAGGCTTTTTTTGGGTGTGGTTTGAGTGTGGGCGAAGACACAGGGGCCCCATGATCCCCTATTGCCCGGGGGCCCCATGAGTTGTTAGTCCGTTCCTGGCTGCAAGCGCACTATAATAAATATTGTGTATGAAACGTGCTGCACTAAAAATATATTAACTTATAAATGTGTAAAATTTCATGTGTCATAAAACAAATTTACTTTATTAGGTGTAGCACTACCCCTTTAGGAGTCGCTAGAGAGGCAACACGCATTTCCTTGCGGACTTGCACTCCAGAGACAGTAAAACAGTCCTTGAAATTGTTTTTTTTTTATTTCATTAGGGGATGATAACTTGGGTGTGGATGAGGGGTACATGGGATGCCCAATGTAAAACTGAGGACAACTTCCTAGTTCTTGGAGAGCTAGCCAGCTTCTCCTTGTGTACCTCCTCAGACCCTAGATGAAATCGCCTCTTCATCGAGCTGCCTGAGGGAATTCTTGGCCAAGAGGTCCCAGAAGCCACCACCTTAAATGAAAGCAGTCTCAGATGGGGGCTAGTCAGCCAAATGCCCTTTCCCCTTTTCTGGCCCAAGTGGTGTGGGGTTAATCACTCAGGCCTTAAGCTGGGCTGGCTCCTTCCCTGCTTCCCAGGTTGTCCTTTCTCAGAAGACGATGAGACTGAGAGATCAACCTTTCCAGCTCCACTGCCTGCAGGTAGGCCCCTCTCCTGGACCCCCTCCCAGGCTTTATACTCCATCCTGCGAAGTCCATCTTCCACCTGAACTCTCCTGCTGCTGAGCAGGCTCAGTCACTGTTAAGGGCTGTCCTGACCTCATGCCATGCCTTCTGCTTGTGGATTGGCCAGGATCCCTTGAGAGTGCAAACCAGTCACTCCTCACCCTTGCCCACTGAATTCTAAAGACTTCTCCAAATCTCTAGGTCAGGGGGAAGTTCTAGAGAGCTGGTCTGCAGAACCTCCCAGCTCTGACCAAAACTTGACACCCTCTGACTATTCCACCAGGCTGCTGTTCAGCCTCTAACCAAAAATATTCATCTAGCTCCCTCTAGCTACCTAGGAGGGTGCTACATAAGTGCAAACTGACCAAAAATGCAGACAATGTATAAATCCTGCAGTTGATGCAAAGTACAATCAAAACAAATAATCAGTGTAAAACAGTGCGATCCATACAGCCGGCAGCTTGTCATCTGGGGCACCTGATGATTTTACAATGACAAAACATGTAGGGTGGAGCTTCACTGATCGAGGAGAGAGAGAGTATCCACAAGTGAGCTGCCAGCTTCTTTTACCTTTCCCCACAGTACGGCTGTTTCTATGCAAATTTGAAACATGAAGGGAAGTGGTGGCTTGATACTTCTTTGTGGAGCATATACCTGTAGAGAGTGGAGACCAATGGCCAAGAACATCAGGCTAAGCACCATTCACAGTTCTTAAGAGGTTGAAATGTCTGAGCCACTTGACAGATGATTGATGTCAGAGTCACTAGCCAAGGTTGATGCAGGAGAAGAGTTTCGTAGTCGGGGTCACAAGCAAAGGTCGATTCAAAGTAGTAATAGTGGTAGCTCAAGGCTGCAGATAGAAATACTGAGAGGAGCACAATAATCGGGCAAAAGGAAGTGCAGAGGCATGGCTTAAATTAGGAAGTGCATAGGAGGTTCAAGACAAAACAAGGTTCAAGACAGGATCATGCAAGGATTTGTTCAGGGATCTGTCCAGCATTCTAGGTGGCTCAACAAGAAGAAACACCACGTAACACTGGCTCTTTAACATGAGTGCAATTTGTGCTTTTAATCAATACAATTTTATCTGTTGCTCTATGAGGATTCCTTCTGTTTTTTGACTTGAGCTTTGCTTTGAAGGGGAATATGCTGTCACCTCTTGTGAATTCCTGCATATCCATTGCATACACACCTGAAGCAGCCATCTCAGATCCAGATTGTTATGAGGCTTCATTGGCCCTCAAAATAAGTGTCTAGTTTTAAGGTGAGTGTACACCCATTGGGGATTCCTGTGGAAGTGTTCCTGTTTGCGCCCTTCTGGATTAATATTTCTCCTTGGAATTTTAAATCTAACACTGGACACAGATACAGTACATTTGCATGGACAAAGACTCATATGAACTTGATTTTTAATAATCTTTATCATTTTTATTGATGGTGCACATCGATCGTACTTTTTACATGGATTGTTCATGAATAAATTCACATGGACCACGAGCAAATATGAATTGATATGTTCTTTATTAATTTATGTTTATTGCTAGGTTGTGCATGTTGATCACACTGTTTTACACATTGATCTTTTTCTATTGATTATACTTTGCATTTGCATCAACTGCAGTATTTATACATTGTCTGCACTTTTTGTCACTTTGCACCTTAACAGAGTTGATTTGTTTGGAGACACATGACATTTGACACATTTATAAGTTCATTTATTTTTAGTGCAGCATGTTTTACACACAACATTCTCAATGACAGTTAAAAAACAGGCAGCATTACAGATTAAGGCCTCGTTCACAGCATACGTGCAGAAAAATTGATGGAAATTGATGCAGAAATTTCACTTGCAGAGACATCAGTTTTCATGCGTGCTACAATGAATTTTATACACGTTGCAGACTCCTGCACGTGACACTATTATTATTATTATTATTATTAATAAACAAGACTTATACAGCGCCGACAGTTTGTTCAGCGCTTTACA